CGCGCTCTTCCTTTCTCGCCGACATCTTGCGGAGCAGGCTGCGGCCGCACCATGGTGAGCGCGGCCGGGCCGGGGGGCGGGCGGCGGGCCGGGCCGGGCCCCCCGAGAGGCGCTGGCGGCTCCCGGAGCGGGGCGGGAACCCCTGCGAGGCGCCCGGGGCGCCGGGCCCGCGCCTCGCCGCTCACCCCCCCATCCTTCTCGCCCTCTCGCAGCCGCCCAAAGACGACAAGAAGAAGAAGGATGCGGGCAAGTCCGCCAAGAAGGACAAGGACCCGGTCAACAAGTCCGGCGGCAAAGCCAAGAAGAAGGTGGGAGCGGCGGGACGGAGGGCTCGGGTCCGGCGGGCCTGGCGCGGGCGCGGCGTGGCCGGGCCCCAGGGCGGCGCGGGCTCTTGCTAAAAGAGCTCTTCATCTGCGCCGAGCTGTACACTACGGTGTTAAACCTGAGTAACAGGGGGCTTTAGTCCTCGTATTCTTAGGTACTGTAGGTGTTATCCGCAGCACGTTCATTTACAGGGGCAGTTTTGGGCATCTCACTAGGCCTTTAGTTTGGGGTGTGATACGGAAACGCGTGATGGTGCAGTTCTTGGGCATCGTTAGTTGAGTCTTTTGTTCTTGCTTACAACATGGCTTAGAGGGGTGTTGTTTTTTCTCTCCTTCCAAGTAGAAGTGGTCCAAGGGGAAAGTGAGAGACAAATTGAACAACCTTGTCCTGTTTGACAAGGCCACTTACGACAAACTGTGCAAAGAAGTGCCCAACTACAAGCTCATCACACCTGCAGTTGTCTCAGAAAGGCTGAAGATTCGAGGCTCCCTGGCTCGGGCTGCCCTCCAGGAGCTCCTCAGCAAAGGTGAGCACTCAGAAATTGAAAAAAAACCAGAAAGCTGCTTGAATTGGCTGTTTGGTTTTCCTTGCTTGCCCAGCAGCTTTCCTGCAGCATCTGAACTGTCCCATGAGTAGATTGTTTTGGAGAGCCACTGCCTTAGCTTGCATTTCAGAAGTGCTCCAAAGTGTGGAGCAGGAGTTTGTTACACGGGCTGTGATGTAACTGCAGCCAGGTGGCAACAAAAGACTCGAATAAGCTGCTACCCCCTATTATTGCCTCTTGTACCCTGCCTCTCTAGGAGGGACCTCAGCATCCCTGGCATTCGCCAGTACGTGCACACTGATGTAATTTTGTTTTTTTTCATAGGGTTGATCAAACTGGTGTCCAAGCACCGAGCCCAGGTGATTTACACCCGAAACACGAAAGGTGGAGATGCGCCTGCGGCAGGGGAGGACGCCTAGGGAGGTGAGGCTGGGTGCTCAGGAGCTGAGCTCTGCTGGGGCTGTGTGTAACGGGCAGCTCCTCGTGGCTCTGCTGGGCTCACATCCTGAGCAGCTTCCTGGGGGAGCACTGCTGGGAACACCAGCTCTGCAGAACTGAAGAGCCATTTCTGATTTTGTCCCTGTGCTCACTGGATGGGGAAAGCATCATTTGTTCCCCTCTCTGTGGGCTGCAGGGCAAATGTCCTCCCTGCGCCCCCATGGCCAAGTGTTCCTGCTGGATAAAACTGCCAAACTGTTTGCTTTGTGCTAGCATGCTTTTACTTTGTTTTCTGATTGGGGACTTCTTGCTTTGCAGGTTCTTCAGTGACTTAATCAACAATGTGTCATATGTAGATGCACACAATAAAATTATTGATTATAATTTTTCTGGATTTTTCAACAGTGTGTATGTTTCATTACTGATGCATTATTTATTATGGATTCTGGTAGAGGTTGTGGCTGTTGTACTGTACCAGCCAGTTTTTTTTGTCTCTATTAGTGTTACAAATGTGTTGCTGAAAGGGAAGTGTGAAACTTCTACATCACCTACAGCATTTACTGATGTTAGGCAATCTAAAGGATAAATGTTAAAATGAAGTAAAGCAATATAAGTATGAATTAAATTATCAAACACCTGGCATTAGTTGCCTGCAGGATGGGCCCTGCATTTGAAATGAGTTTCAGTTGGTCTAAAAACTGAGAGGCATTTAAAAAAAGAAGTTTATTTCTCAAAAAATTCTTGCTTCAGCAGGATGTGCCATGTCAGCATAGGCCACTGGCATTGCTTGCTGTACAGAGTAGGCTTTCTGACAGGGAACATATGGCATCCACAGGAGCCTGTCCTTGCTGGCAGGGCCTGACTTGGTGTGGCTTTAGATGTGATGCTCAGATGAACACTCGAGTCCTTACAGGGCAGTCAGCAACAAAACTGCAGCTACCTGCAGTCAGCCTTTCCACAGCAGAGCTGGGTGTCTGGTGTTCCTCATCTGATCACCTTTTTTTCTTCTTTTCCCCTGCTTCAGTTCTAAACTGATGCCTGAAAGAGAGCATAGCAGTCAGACTGCAGTAGCCTTTAGACAATGACCATCCTTGGAGACAGACAGTGCTGTGCACAGTGTTCCAGCACGGAAGCTCCCTCGATATTTGTGTTACCTCAGTGAGAGGCAGCTCCAGCTAGCTGACAGAGAGTTCTGGCACAGTAAAAGGTGCCAGTGGGACAGTAGGTGGGTCTGAAAGGTGAGCCAAGCAGAACGAGGCAGATGCCTTCATGCGTGCAGCCTTTACAGCCATGAGCACGCTTCCTGGTGCTGCTCCAGGACAAGAATGATACTCTGCCTGACTCGAGCACTGTGTGGCAGGATGTCCAGTTATGTTTGCTGCTGCCTCAGAGCCTGCTCCATGAATGGCTTGCATGGAAAGCCCCCCTGTCCCCCCGGGATCCGTCTGCAGCTCACCGGGACTGCCACCTCCTGCCGTGGTTCCAGACGCGCCCAAAGGAAGGGAGCCAGCTGTCACTTGTCTGAGAGGTATGGTCAAAGTTGGCACCAACACGTTCCACTGGGAGCTTTTTCAGCTTCTGCTTCTCCTCTGAAAATAAAAATAGAATCGTGGAGTGGTTTGGGTTGGAAGGGAGCTTAAGGATCCCTTTGCTGCAACCCCCTGTACGCAGATGGGGATGCTTTCCCCTAGACCAGGATGCTCAAAAGCCCAAATATTTTTTCAGCAAAAGTTTTTCAAATTGATTTTGGTTCTCTAGCATGTTAAAGTGACTGTAAAGTTAACTAAAAGATGTGCAAGCTGCTCACTGTGTTTGAGAAATTCCTCATAGGAAGGTCCAATTTCTTTACTTCCATCTTCTTCCTCTGTTAGCCATGGAGGTTTTGCTCCTGGAAGTCACAGGGAACACTTACTTAGCCACTGAAGTTAACCTAAACTGTGACAGAATAGAAGTGCCCCCTCTTCCTCCTGTCTGCTGCTCATGCTACCAAGCAAGTGACCAGGTGAACTCTGGGTGTTCTGAGAAAAAGGAGCTGGCCACGGCAGATCACCTCCCAAATCATGCACTCCCCACAGCAGCAGCATCAACGGTTTTTGTGGACAGATAGAATGCAGGAGAATAGAGACAGTGGTGAAGGTAATCTCACCCCTAAGGAGTTACACCTGTGCTAATTATCAAAAATTAAGAACAAGCCTGCCCTTAATAAGCCACAGCTGGATCCAGTTAGGAGAGGTGTTGTGAAAGAGTAGGTTGGCTGGGCAGAGGACGAGAAGGAGTCAGTGCTGTGAGGAGCTGCCCATGAGAAATAACCCAGGTGTGAAACCTTCGCAACAAGATGGCAACAAGTTTTTACTATGCTGATGTGTTTTCTTCACTACCTCGGATATTGCCAAGAGTGGCCACCTCCTGGTTATGCTGCAGCTGCTTCCAGTTTTCCCTGTGACACTTGCAAGCCATGAGGCAGCAGCCTGTTGAGTCATGATGCAGGTACACTTACCTGTGTGGACATTTCCTTTCCCTTCTGTGTCCTGTTAACAGGAACATAAAATACTTATGAGAATCTTATGTTTAGGAGTATCTCTGAGCAAAAGAGCATTGTCTTCATTGCCTTCCACAGTCAAGTTCTGTTAGAAAAAGGCAGAGAAAAGCTCTTCTGTTCTTTAAAAGAGAGTTTGTTTTTTTTCCCCACAGCATATTAAAGAATGTTTGCTTAATGAAAATTAAACTGAAACTGGGCTAGCTGCTCGCCCAAATCCACAAAGTGTTTCTTTTTGTGATGGAGACCACCCCTTGTTCTGCTTTGTGACATGTACTGTAGGTGACTTGCAGTGAAATTGAAGTTTGCTAGCCAGTCACCCCTACCTGGTGGCCAATGAAGGTCAGAACCTTGCTCGATTCCATCCAGGCTAAATCAGGTCCTGTCTGCATTCCGCTCGGGCCAGGCTGTTCTGCACCACAAGGGCTGTCCCTGAAATAAGAGGCCAGCACTTACTGTAGCGCATACAGAAGTGTTCAAAAGCTCTGCAGGGCCCTGCTAATGACAGTGTCGGGTGCTTTGAGCACCGATGCATCAGCCACTGCTAAAGCAAGCGGTGCTCACCGTTCAGGTCCTGCGGGGAGCCTGCAGACAGAAGGTCCTGCACAAGGTTCTGGCTCTGGCTGAAGCTGAGTGTAATTCAGGAAGAAGGAACAATATTTGTGGCTCTAGGCACAGCCCCCGCCAGCCGCCCCGGCCCCTCCCGAGCGCCGCCGGTGCCCGCTCCCCGCCGGGCAGGATACAGCTCACCGACCTGCAGCGCGGCTCGCACGGTGTCTCGCTGCCGGCGCTCGGCCGCCCGGATGTCCGCCGCCATCTGCGGGACAGCGGGTGAGGCGGGCCCGGGGCCGCGCGGTGCCGGGGCGGGGAGGCGGCCGCGGCTACCTGCAGGATGCGCTGCTCCTCCCGCCGCCGGTGCTCGGCCAGCGCCCGCTCCAGAGCCCCCGCCAGGCGCTCGTACTCCTCGGCCGGCACCAGGCACCGCTCCCGCAGCGCCGCCTCCGCCCGGTTCTCCCGCCAGAACCGCGCCGTCTCCCGGCGGTGCTCGGGCCTGCGGACAGCGGGAGCCCGTCAGCACCGCCCGCACGCGGCCCACG